AAAATTATTGGTTCTCACTCGTGGTTCTAAAGTTGAATTATGGTCAGTTGCAATGGTGGCATCAAAATTTAGATCAGTAGAGGTATATTTAAATACATAGTTTGATCACAGTTTTAAGTGAAATATGTACAATTAGAAAATATTCTTATCCACTTTCTTATATCATAGGCAAAAAATCCAGCTGTTAAAGAGAGTGGAGGGATGATGGAAATTGATCAACATTCAGGAACAATTGTTGAAGCAACGCTTAGTCCAGATGGTACTGCATTAGCAACAGCTAGTACAGATGGAGAGGTAAAATTCTTCCAAGTCTTCCTCCATAATAATTCACACAATGGCCAACCACAACCACGTTGCTTACATCAATGGAAACCTCATGGAGGACGACCTATCTCCTGCCTATTTTTCCTTGACGATCATAAAAATTATCAACCTGAGTGAGTATTTTAAAAATATTAACTCGATTTAACATGCATAGAACCATCCATTAAAGAAACTTTTAATTAAAAGAAATTATTTATTTTTTCAGCGTTCAGTTTTGGAGGTTTGCTGTGACAGGATGTGACAATAATTCAGAACTGAAAGTATGGTCATGTGAACTATGGACTTGTTTACAAACAATAAAATTTGCTCCAAATCCTTCTACTGGTAAAATGCCAGTACTGAAAGCAGGCTTAGATCTTAGTGCTGGATATCTATTCCTATCAGATATTTATAATAAAATTTTATATATATTAAGTCTTTCAAAAGACAAAGGTGAAGCATTAGCATGCATAAGTACGGTATCAGAATTTCTCCTGCCATATCCAATTTTAAGTTTCGGAATTGTTGATGCCGATCAACGTAAGATTCGATCGACTGGCGAATCATTGGAGGATCTATGTACATGTGAAGAGATCGATGAAAACGATGAACAACTTGTCATTTATATGTATCTAGTCCAACCGAAGTCTTTACAAGAGTGTCACATTGCCTTCAAACCTGCCTCGCAAGCAAGTGGCAATTATCTTATAGATACACTTACTCATGATTTGCTGGATTATTCCGAAGATTTGCCGGATATGGGAACTGTCACTCACAATGGCATTTCCGATGAGAATTGTGAGAGAGAACGCTCTTTATCTACTACAATTGAAGCAACGATTAATCATAATACTACTGGCTTAAATCTAATGACACCCGATGCGTTCAGTTCACCTGCAAAAAAAGAGAATAACGAACTGGAATCTAATTCTGAAAGCCCGGAATTAGGGAAAGTTTTATCCGGTAGTCCTTCTCTTGCACAAGCAGTGCAAGCATTGAACGTGTCTGATCCGCCACTTGTAAAAACTGAGATAGAGGAACAAGCCCCTGCTAGTTGCGGTAGCAGCCCTTCTAGAGAAGTAAGAGAAATTTTGTCTCTTACTAAACCGGACGAAGAAAATGAAATTGATAGCAAATCTGAAATAAAAACAAACGCCGACCAAGATTGGTCTAATATCCCAATGGTCTTACTCAAAGATGTTAATGTACACGCGATGCAAGACTCGGAACAATTTCCCGATGAGAATCTACAAAGGCAAAAGACAAAAGATGAGCCGAAAACGATGTCCCTTTCAATTGACGACACTGGAACGTCGTGGCGACCAAATAGTGATCTCAATTATGTCGAATTGAACAACAAATTAAAATCTATTTTAGAAATAATTCAAGATCAGTGCCAAGAGATAAAAGAATTACGCACAGAGGTGATCAGATTACGAGAAGAATCGCCAGCATCTACACGAATAGAATCCGCATTAGCGAGAATATCTCAACAACAACATGCGAGTCTGGAACAAACTCTGTACAGTCAAATGGCTCGTCAACATGAATTCCTAAACACATTCGAAACAACGATCAAAGAAAAAATTGAAAGTACCTTGCCGCGTGTAATTGAAGAAACAATGATACCTTTAAAGCATCAAATGAGATTAGACGCGAATCAAATGGATGAACTTTTCCAAAAGAATATAACTGAATTAATAAACAGTGCGCGAGTAAAGGATGCTTTTGCTGTGACAGCTGTAAACGCAGCTAAGCCTGCTTTAGATGTTGCTTTTAAAGAAGTATTCTCAAGTTTTATCTTACCTGGCATGGAGAAGATTTGCCAAGTTATGTTTAAGCAAATTCAGGATGTCTTTGTTAAAGGTACTCACGAATGTAAGTAGCCTATATATTTTATCATCATTATGAGACTAATCAGTACTTTCATGTATTATATTGTGTGTGATATTATATACATAATATTTCTTTATAGATTTACAACATATCGACGCTATCGTCGATAAACAATGTCAGCGTCGTAATGAACAATTAAGTGAAGCTTTATCAATATTAGTACGTGAAGAATTACAGACTGAACTAAATAGAACTTTGACGACAACACAAGATAATACCATTCGAGCAATTCGTGATTCTATACGGGAAAATTTGAGCCAGCAGCTTACTGAAATTTCTAGTGCACGGTAAAAAAATATATCACAAATTCGAAGTTTAAAATTACTAGATGCAGATAAAAATTTTATTATATGTTTTTCAAACTTACAGATCAAGAGCTACGACACCTGCTATACCTGTAGCTGCTGTAGCTGATGCTCAAGCACGTGTCATGTCTCTTCTTCAAAGAGGTCAATTTAATGCCGCTTTCCAACAGGCTTTAAGTGCAAGCGATTTAGGATTGGTAGTACTAGTGTGCGAAAAAACGGAGCCTTCGAGAGTATTTTCGTGTGCAGGAGCTCAGGGACAAGGTTCTAGATGCATTTTGCAACAACCTGTGATTCTTTCTCTTGTACAACAATTATCTGCTGACTTAGGACATCGTACGGAACTTAAACATAGGTAATTATTTTTCTTTATTTTTATTTTTCAGTTTAGATTATACAGATTATAACATAAAAAGGAATATTTTTTGTCCTATTTGCAAAATGGCAAAATATAAACAAGAATTATATTTTTATATATTATACACACAGGTGGCTAGAAGAAGCAATATTAAATTTAGATCCAACTGATCCCGTAACACGAGAACATATGGGCACTGTGCTAATAACTCTGCAAAATCAATTGGCTACGTTTGTAGCAAATAATCCGAATCATCGATCGACGCGTCGCATGAAAATGCTTGCCATGGCTGCGCGTGCACTATTAAATCAACATCCTTGACCATCACGTTTGTGAGATTATACAAATATATGATTTTGTATGTTCTGTTTAAAGATTACTTTTGTCTAAAAGCAATATTTACAGAAGTCATTTCTAAGACTGGCAGTTACATAAAATGCAGAACAAATATAATCTCTAATGAATTTATTAACATGCTTGCTATTTTATCAAAGTACATTCAAATTCGATTTTATTTTACTTAGAATATGTACATGCATGTAATATGCAGTAAATTATGTTATTCATTTTATTTGTTTAAATGCTTTACAGTGAAAACTTTTTAAAAAGTTTTTTAATAAACTGCCTAATTTGATTCTAGAAGCAAAAATATAAAAAAGAAATGTTTTAAGTTGAATGTAAAATATTGTTTATTTGACGATAGACTAATACTAGAAAAATATTCAGTATTAATGTCAATAAAAAAATTTTTTTAAAATTTTTGTTCTCTGCATAAAAGATCCTATATCTATGATGTGTAATGTAAAAATGACATTTCACTTATAAGCTGACAGTAAAAGAAATTAGATATAAAGTATTTCTTCATATTTCATAAACTCTGACCTTAAATATAACACATGAATTTCACTCGTGAATGGACTTGTTATATTTAGTCATACTTATATATACGGTTGTAAAGTTTTTTAATTAAATCATCTAACTTTGAAAGATTTTTTCGTTTAAGTCATTTATAAATAGATTTTTTTGTCTGCAAAATTATATTTTTTTATGACTAGCAATTTGTGAATTTAAAAGTCTATATTGAAATAAATATAAATGTAATAATTATATTTTTTTAATTAAATAATGAAATATAACAATAATTATAGTGTTTAATTGAATGATAAAATTTGATTCTTTTTCTTTGTTTTACTTACATTTAATTTAATTCAAATATATCTTATAAAAATATTGCATTATATTTATTATAGTGGCAGATCTATCTGTAAGTAAAATAATGAGAAAACTGTGAACTTCAAGGTTTTGATCATATTGACCTGAATATCATTTCTTGGATTGTAATATGTTAAATTTTCTTCTTAACTTGAACATTTTATATTAATTTGTTAAATGATTATATTAAAATAAACAACAACAAAAATTATATATTATTTTGAATTTTAATTTTTTAAAAGCCAAGAAATTTACATTAAAATATATATAAGGATTTTTGTTAAATTTTATTAATAATAATTAATTTTTAAAACACAAAGCCCTTTAAAAAAATTTTTAAAGAAATGTTTTAATCCTAACAAAATGTAGATCTGTCACTTTTTAACTACAATTATCTTATATATATAGTTTTAAAAATTTCTCTAAAGATCTGTTTAAAAATTCTTAAAAAATGAATGTAAATAATACTGTGTCACTTAAATTGAATAGATTACTTTTCAACATTTTTATAGTCTACATGGAATATTCCTAATTCCAGATTATATCTATATGTATATATTTAGATATATCCTAAGAGAATGACACTTTTTGATATACAATATTGTTCAATGTACTAAAAGATATTTTACATTCTTTCTATATTGAATTTCTTTGTCCGATTTTTTTTATATTGTTATTGTATTTTTCATGTTTAAATAATATTGATCTTAAATTTCTTTAGAACTATGCACATTGTTATTCTTTCTTTAGTGAGAAATAAAATCAAATGCGTTGTAAATTATTATATATTAAATATAAGTAACATTTCTAATTCTTATCTATAACACAAGTTTTTTCTTTCACGAATTTTCATAACTTTTATGTTTCTAACATGTTTATTTTTTGTATAATAAAGATAGGGTATATTTTTATTTGGAACAAATTTTTTAATAAATTTTTTTTTTTTTTTTTAATGAACACAGATACAAATATAGTACCTTACATATAAAAACTTTCTTTTTTTTAATTATCACAGTTTTTTAAACATTTTTACTTCCTGCATATTCTATTCACGGATTATTCAAAACTTACATGATTTGTATACAGTTTTATTCCCCACGTTTATTCTTCAATTCTGTTACTAAAGCCTCTTTAATGTGTGATGCTATTTTAATCTTTCTTTTTTGATTTTACCAGATTTTGTACCCTTCTTACTTGATATTGTTTCTGGTTTTTTCTTTTTTTTCAAACAACTAAGTGGATTTGGTCCTCCCTTTTTTTTCCTTTTCTTTAATTTATCGTCCCTCTCTTGCATAATTCCTGCTTGCTTTTGTAATACTTTTACATTTTCTTTTTGCCACATAGTCATACCCAAATCTTTTTGCATAACTTCTGCATATTTACAACTTGCTTCTGAAGGAGATTCTAATGTAGGTGTTTTTCCATGTAAATAAATTAAAGGAACTCCTGGAATTAGCCTCAACTTATTTTGAAGCTTACGATCTTGTGTTGCAATAATATATCTATAACAATTATAAGATAACATTATAAAAGTATATTACTTTCTAATTGTATCATATATATATATATATATATATATATATATATATATAAAATTCATGATATATATTTAATATATAAAAATTCATAGCTGTATACCTTGAACTATTATCTTTTCCTATCATATGTAGTAAACAGTTTGAACCACTTATTGGTTTCTTCTCATGTCCACATTTATGTATAGGATATTGTTTCACTATTTGTGTAGCACCATTAACTTTTGCAGAGAACACACCAAGTTTTTCAGTTTCAGAAATAATGCATGGTGTTGTTAGCAGTTTTAAGTGAGACTGAAAGTATATTTTAAATTGCTCTTGTATGTTGAATTTATTCTGAAAAAATAATAAAACATACAAAATATAAAAATAACAAATAAAATATAAATTTAAAATTAAAATTTAATAGAGCAAGTTGAAAACTTTGTATATATACATGTGGAGAAGCTAACCTGTAATGCTGCGAACGCAAATGTGCCGTCAATAAGAATTTGAAATGGTTGATGAAATTTATAATTATTTACATAAAATTCAAGATTTTTCCGGACTTTTTTATATCGTAAGGTCATTTTTAATTTACTAATTAAATTAGTATATTTTATTGCGAGAAACTAAGAGCGCATACAAATCTTGTATGAACACCACGTACAAACTGACAAATATTTATTTTTACTATCGATAAAATCAATCGCACATGATTTTTTTCTTTAATTTATAAATATGTATATGTCATTATTAAAATATTTTCACACACACATGTAAATGACATGCTGTGTTACACATATTCTTGATTAGAAAACGATTTTTCAAAAATTTTCAGAAAGAAAAAGAAAGAGATGCTTCTCTCTCAAAGATAAAAAAATGGGTGCATTTTCATGTGACGCTGAAATCCAGCGTCAAAGCGTCACATGAAAATGCACCCTAACGCATAATGCATTTTTTATAATGTACAGGAATTAATTCCTTATGCATAATGCATAATGCATTTTTTATAATGTACAAATTTATTTAAATTAGAAAAAGGGTCGTTTCCAAAATAAAAATAATGAATAAATGTTATTCCCAAATGATTTATATTTTAATCGATTCCATTCGAGCATAATATTAATATTACATATATTATTATCTGCTAACTTGATACTCGATAAAATTTTGTTATTAACAAGAAAACTATTATTTCCTAAATGTTAAAATAGTTTTCTTAACTTCCCTAAATGATTCCTAAATTATATAATATAAAATAATTAAAAAATATTCAATTCCTCTGCTAACTCTACGGCGATGACGCACTATCTCTTTCTCTCTCTACGATAATTAGATATTGTACAAAAATTCTTTAATTATACAGTATTGTGCGGTAACATTAAACGCATTGAAACATGTGAAACGTAATTATAAAGCGCAACGCAAAGAATACTTTGATCAAAGCAACATTAATTACAACTCGAAATCAAAGAGATACGTAAGTGAGACATCTCGTGTTATATTTTAATTATATATATTTTAATTATATATTGCTCTATTATTACATTTCTTTTCAAAGAATACATCATCTCTTTATACATATATGTGCGTATAATGCATCTTCACGAAATAAATGTTTAATATCGATGTCACAAACTTTGCACACACATCTTTTTTCGCGAGTTTTTTTCCGATTTGCCTTTATCGAAATTTAAATACGCGCGTGATTTAAATACGCATTAAAAAATAGACGCCAGCCAATTTCAACTTACTCTAATGTAATTATAATATATATTGCAAAGTTTTAATTTAGGCGTATTTACGAACATAGGCATATAAATGTATGTAAAATAGCCGATCAATCGCAATGCGAAAATTTAAAGAAAAAAATTCCATTTAGCGAACAATTTTGTTCCACGCGAGATAGCGATTAATATTAGGAAATTTATATAAATAAAAATAGAAATTTTTATTATAAAGGTTTATTGTAAATGAAATATTAGAACTAAGTTTATATACCGCAAAGCATATATTTTTTACATGTACTAATTGCATATAGCATATAATATTATCTATCTATATAATTATATTAATCAAAAAATGTTTAAATATTACATTTTTTTTTTATAAAAACAATTTTGTTTATTTTTATGTAAGAAAATTCTTGTATTATGTCTTATTTTACTCTTCGATATATATTTTATGCTTTTTATCTGAATTTATTTGATTTTATTATCTTTTTATTATTTTATTCTACTGCAAATCCGATTTGGTTATGAGATGGCACATGCTGGATTTCAAGCCCTGTGAATAAATAAAAATGTACAAGACATTTAACATTAATGCTTAATTAACAAATAATACATATGTATATTTACGATTTCCCAAGCATGATAATGCATAGATGTAAGCTTTTCTAATGGATCAGTCATGTGAATAGTTAAACATTGTGATTGATCGATAAAAGGTCCACGAAGAGCAGCCATATTACAAATAATTTTTTGTGGCATTTCCCAAGACGTTTTATAGAGTAATTTTAATTCGTCTGGAATACCATTGATATTCTACGAACAGAAATGAGAAAAGTTTATTTTAATATATTGATTTTTTTAAAGATATATATATATATATATATATATATATAAAGCATGGAATCATCACTTTGTAAGATAATTAAATTAAATAATGACTATTTACCTGTATAGTTCCGCCATTATTAATGATTTTATTACTCATGTTTTCATCCCAAAGACCTTTTTCAATTAAATCTCGCAATAAACGTGGTTTAACAGTTCGGAACTGTTTAGATAATGCATGTATCACATATAAGTTGCTTGTGTATGGCTCAACTGATACATTATTTTCTAACATTTGTGCCATAAATGCATCTGACGTTTGCGCTATTAATAAAGAATTGCGCACTCCATGTTTTGCAATCTTTGCCTTTAATGTATCCCAGTCCCATAAATCTGTTGGTTTTACATTCCACATATCATACTGCAAAATCTATGAAAAAAAAGCAAAGTTATATGGTTTATATGAATAATCTTTATATAAAATTAATACTCAGAGATAACATTTTTCTTGACTAAATACCTACACCTTTACTAACGGGACTATCTTCATATGATTCATAAGGACCTTTCTCGATAGCTATTTCGCAACTAGCTTCTAGAGCACCATAATAGAGAGTCTCAAAAATTTTGATATTGAGTTCACGAGCTTCTTTACTTTCAAATGGATATCTCATTAAGATAAATGCATCCGCTAATCCTTGTACACTGATACCTAATGTTTTCAAAACAAATAAATTTCCTTTAAACAAAATCATATATAAAAATATATTATACATACAAATACTTACCAATAGATCTATGCTTCTCACAAGACAATTTTGTTTCTGGGAGAGGATAAAAGTTAGCATCAATTATTTTATCCAAATTGTAAGTGACAATTTTTACAATTTCTTTAAGTTTATAAAAATCAAAAATTCTTTTAGTTGAATTCACAAACATATTGACAGCGATTGAAGCTGTATTACACATAGCAATCTCATCAGAACTTGAATACTGAACAAACTCAGTGGAGAAACTACTGCATTTAATTGTGCCCAGATTTTGGTGATTCGATTTACGATTACAATGATCTTTAAAAACTATATATGGTGATCCTGTTTCAATTTGTATATTAATGATAAGAAGCCACAAATCCCTGGCTTTAATCCGCTTTCGAGAACGTCCTTCTTTTTCATATCTAAATACATATTTATTTTGTAAATTATATAAATTTTGTATAATTTAAGTATTATTAAGATTATAGTATATTATATATATATTTACTTAGTATATAAAGTTTCAAATTCTTCACCATATGCTTCAATTAATTCAGGACATTCGTGTGGACACATCAGATTCCAATCACCATCACTAAAAACACGTTGCATGAATAAGTCTGGAGTCCACAATGCATAAGACATATCTTTAGCCCTCAGTTTCTCCTCACCTATAATAGTTATTTATAAAATATAAATGTGTTAAGAAAAATATATACTTAAAAAAAGGAAATAACAAAAAATAATAACCAATATTTCTTTTAAGATCCAAAAACTCAAAGATATCAGCATGCCATGGTTCTAAATATACAGTAATTTGTTCTTGATTTTTATCAATTTTAGAAACAGTTGCAATAGATGTATTGTATGCTTTTAACATAGGTACCAATCCATTTGATACTCCTCCAGTGCCTCTTATAGGAGTATTTTTTGCTCGAATACAATGTACATTAAATCCTATCTCACCATTATGATGACAAAGAATAGCAGATCTTTGTAATGTATCCAATATTCCATCTATACTGTCCCCAGACATTGTCAATAGAAATGAGCTGTAAAAATATAATTCACATTGAATAACATTATATAACGTCTAATAAAACTGCTTCTTAAAAAAAAAAAAAATAATAATCACCTAGCCATTTGTTGTTTAGTGGTACATGCAGTATCCAATGTTTGTGCAGTATGTATAAAATATTGTTTTGATAGAAAATTGTATGTTTCAATAGCTTTATCGACGTGTTCACCATGAATAGCTACAGCAACTCGCATCAGCATATGCTGTGGTCTTTCAACAACCTTTCCATTTAGTTTTAATAAGTGTTTAGTTTCCAACATTTTAAATGTAGTATAACTATAGTTGAAATCTCTGTCGTATATTATTGCAGAATTCAATTTGTCTGCATTGCTTTGGATAATTTTATGATACTTTTCACTAATTATAGGTTTACATTTGTTTGTAACGGAGCTTTTTGCATAATACAAATCAGCCATCACTTCTGCATGATATAATAAATATTAGTACGATTAATAAATGATTATATAATAAATAATAGATTATATATCAATAAACAATATTAACAAATTTTTTACCACTAAAAATCTTTTTTGTTTCTTTATGCAGATTAGATATGGCAATTCTAGCTGCCAAAGTTGTGTAATCTGGATGTTGATTTATCATACTTGCTGCAATTTCAGCTGCTAAGTTATCCAATTCAACTGTAGTTACTCCAGAATACAAATCAGTTATAACACGAAGCGCAATCGCAGACTGAAATATAAAATTATAATAAAATATTTGTTCAGGTTGATACATAATTTTGCATATTCTATTAGATTTATCAATGTTGCAAACTCCTCAAGAAAATCTTACATTAATTTATAAAAAACAAAAATTATATCAAATTATTTGTATAATATGTACATACATATACATACTTACCGGATCCACATAATTCATATCCAAACTATAACATAATGTCTCGATTCTTGCAGTAATTTTATCGAAATGAACAGGTTCTTTACGTCCATCTAACAATAAATAAAAGAAAGTGTTTAAAGACAAAAAAACAATGAATATGTGTGTGTGACAAAGCTTCATTAGATCATAGTGTATGTAAATGTATTTATTAAATTACCGCGTTTTAATACATGCATGTTTTCTTCTCAATCCTTTTCAGAACAACTTTTATCAGTACTTGGATTTTTACGTAATTCTCGCTGAATTATATGTACAATTCGATAGTAACCGGACCATCTACCGATTATTATGAAGAATTTACCCGCGAAACGGAAGTGAAGCACAGTATTCGAGCCGTTCTTCTTGCGCATGCCCAACCAGATCCTGTCGAATCGGGACCGAAGAAATTATAATTTTATTTATACTATAATTTTGATGAAGCAAAATTTGCCTTTTCTTAATTTTTTATATTTAATTTCATTATTTTCATTTGTTTATATTAAATATGCAAATAAATTTCAGTGTTTATTCAAAAGGAGAAGAAAGCTTTTTTTGACAATTGCGAATTAACCAATCAGCTGTCAAGTCGCTTCGCTCCGATTGGCCAATCCGCAACTGTCAACCGGAGCGTTTTCAAGCAATTGTGGAATGCGCCTTACGTGCGAACGCGACTTAAAGTCACAGTGAAGAATCTGATATCTTTTCCGGGGGGTGGAGGGGGAGATTGACACGCGCGCTGTCGCGCGAGGTTCGGCGAAGGAGTGAGAGAGAGAGAGAGCGAAATGCACTGCTATATATGTATGTCACTGAGGTGGTATGCTCGGAGATCCGTTGTGTACTGGAGAGCCGTGTTTAAATATTAATAACGCCGCGGATGTTTTTGCCGGAATGACGCGCGAGTGACGGACCCATGTGTCGCGGACGTTCGGAGGGCAGCTAGACGGCTGCGCGTGGCCGTGCTCGGCACGGCTCGGCTCGGACGACGAGTCGCAAATAAAGCGATGTGGACGCGGCCATGTTTCCCGCTAGCAGAAATCATCCTGTCCATTAATAATTCGCGCTAATCGTGGTGATCGCAGATCGTGGAGGCGTGCAGGATGCCGAAATGCGACGTGAAGACAAGGTATCTGCCAGCTACGTTCGCGTGGACGGTCCTACTCGGCGCCACGGCACTCTTCTTCATCTTCCCGTAAGTTGTCGATTCGCGCGAGAGCACGTCTTGAGGGATCGTTCCGATATGGGAGCCTCTCCGCGCCTATTTTTTTTCCTCTCGTTTTGTTTCTCCTTTTTTTTCTTCATCTTCTCGCCGAGAGTATCAGTTTACATCACGTACGTTTATGTTCACGCAGGTGTTCGAACTATTATGTCTATCGATGGGGTTTGTGGGTACCGGCTCTGCAAGGAGTCATCACCTTCTTCGTGGTGATAAACTTCTCACTAGCGACGTTTATGGATCCCGGTGTTATACCAAAAGGTACGGTGGAATTCAGGACGAGCTGTATTTGATGTATCTATATAGAGTGTGTTACCATATGTGTCAAATGATGGAGTCATTTTTTTTATTTGCTTTTTTAAAGCACCTCCTGACGAAGAACGGGAGGATGACTTTCGAGCTCCTTTGTATAAGAGCGTCGAGATCAATGGCATTACTGTACGTATGAAGTGGTGCGTCACCTGCAAGTTTTATCGACCTCCACGTTGCTCACATTGCAGTGTTTGTAATCATTGTATCGAGGTATATTAATTCTTTCGTTAACATCTATCGAGAAATAAATGATTTTATAAACTATAGGTATATATATATATATATATATTTTTTTTTTCAGACATTTGACCATCACTGCCCATGGGTAAACAACTGCATCGGTAGGAGGAATTATAGATACTTCTTCTTTTTTCTTCTATCGCTCAGTCTTCATATGATCAGTATATTTGGGCTTTGTTTATATTATGTACTGGAACACAAACAGCAGCTGGGTGAAGTTAATACTATTATTGCGTATCCTTTACATAAAAGATAATTTATAAAGAGATTGTAAAAATTATATGCGAATCTAATATAGATTTTATGAGATCCTTAACTTTAGTACAGACTCGTGCTTATGGGAGTGGTAGTGCTCTTATTCATTCCAATCTTTGGACTGACTGGATTTCACGTAGTCCTCGTGTCTAGAGGGCGAACCACTAATGAGCAGGTAACAGGCAAATTTAATGGGGGCTACAATCCTTTTTCACGTGGTTGTCTGCGCAACTGCTGTTACACACAATTTGGACCACAATACCCAAGGTATTGCAAGGAGCCAAGGTATTGTAAAATTAACTATTTGTATAAAAGTTACTTTATTATAATGCAATTTTCTCTGTATGTTTTGTAGTTTACTTAAGCCTGACAAATATTCAGGAAAGCGACGTGGAGCTTGTGCATCAGAGATATCTACTATAGGCAGTGAGAACCAGGTAAAGACCTACATGGATAGCAGCAATGGTGTTAGAAATGCCAGTTCAAATGCTTACAATAAGGTAAGAGCTAGTGCAGTTTCGCTTGTCTTCTTACTCTATGTACAAGATGACTTTAATTCAGAATGCTTAAATTTGAACTAAATATTATCACCGTAATTCGTGTACTTTCTTATTATTTATTAACATAATTACAGACACACGGACGAATTTTAAAAGCCTATATTCTAAGCACTCTTCTGCTTATATGCAGTTTTTAAGCATGTATTTAAGCATGGCTAGTAATATAGTGTTGGTAAACTATTGTTAGTAAATGTATTTTTGAGCAACTTCGTTCGCAAGTTATTTCTTATAGAATTAGCGCTTTCTAGTATTATATATATTATATTTTGATGTTTTACTATAAAATTATTATAATATATAAACATTTTTATACATCTCTTTTATGATATCTGTAGAGTATGAGTTACAACGATGATACCTCCTCTATCAGTTCCATTCAGTCCAGAGTTCTGAAATGTGTTTACTGACCTTCAATGGTTTACACATATCCCATCCATTCCACAAATTGATCCTAATGTTCATAGAAAATGTGTAATGTATCTATTATAATTTATTTGTGTTTGAGAAAATTCTTGTTTATTTCCTGAGATAAAATGGATAACATTGGGTTTTCTCTTTGCAGTTATCTCCTGGACGAGATGGATCGGATACGGATATGGAACCGACGGCGTCTCAGTCCGCTGATTGCGAACCTACGCCTCCGTTACAAAGACACGGTTCCAAAAGCAATTTCTTCCTGCCACCTGTGGAGAACAATGAATCTCCCAGGCATCCTCCGCCATCACAGCTTCGCCATCCAATACATTATCCTAGAGGCAGTCCACATCCGAGGCCAAGGTACGTGCGATGATTATGGCAGTCAGGGATTGACATCATCGATTATTTTTAGTCATTTTCTGCTTTTATTAACGATAACATGACTCAGTAATCAAAGTCGAAAGCGATTTGATTACTCATCAATAACTTTTTCATCACTGAGGGTAGATGATTATTTAATTAATTAAAACAGCAATTACAGAGAGAAAAAAGAAATAAATGCAATATTCCTCTAATAAAATTAATTAAATTAGTTTTTTTAATTATATTTTATTAAGTATTTATTATATTTTACATACTTTTAAAAATACAATTTGCTTTTGTCAGTATTCTTTTTTTTTTTTTTTTTCAAAGTTAGTCGTCATCTGTTAGACGATTGAATTTCGAAAATTTTTAGGAACTAAAATCAAATAATTTTTGACTTTGATTACTGATTAATCGATAATTACATAATATTTTTTTCTGATAAATAATTAAATAATCAAATAATTTATTCTTAATTTTTGCCGATTCTTGATGGCAGCATTATTGTATGCGAAACGCTTTTTCACGATACTCATGTTACTCGTGTTTACAGAGGGATGAACGGATCTCGAAGTCATACACCCGATCCATTATCACCGGAGACGAGTGGTTCGCCAGCCACAGTTCCCCAACGTGGTCAAGGTCCGGGTGGCGCCAGTCCGACGATGCAACAACGCATCAAAGCTATTGGAGTACCCACTCCACTTGCCATATCCAGTCCTATACGAAGGTACATTATACTTTATGCATCTGAAAGAGAACAAAGTGTATATATATATATATATATATATATATATATATATATTATATATATATATATATATATATATATATATATCGATTTATATAGCCTGAAAAAATGTATTCTAATCGTAATGTAAACATATTTACATGTGATACAAAGATAATGAAGTTGTTTTTCTTTTTTTTTTAATTGAGTGCTTATACTTGATCGGCTCTTGAAATATTTGAATAATTGCATTACAATTTCTCTGATGTACTATACTTTTAATTATTATACGTATCTCGATTTTTGCGATATATCGCGATTTTCACATTGCACAAAATTATCTCAATGTAGAGAGCAAGAGGGAAGCGCCACACTAGTAATAGTTACATTGCATCTCTTGAGCACGCTGCCAATATACAAGATAAATGATATTCCTCTTACGATATTCCTCTTTGCTATTACCCTTCGATACGATGTCGGCCTGTTTTGTCAAGGTGTCCTCATGTTCCTAACTGTCAAACACCTCACTCTTGCTCTTCTTTCTCCTCTTCTGTTTACCACTGTTCTCACCTTCCGAATGACGAAGGAACGTGTCGAAAAGGAAAATTGCGCAATGTAGCTTACAATAATATTGTAGAGGATTAGTCTCTGCATGTATATACTACAAGATATATGGTATATAGATAAGTTTGTGTCCCACTGCAGGGGGTGGTAACTGCAAGGAGCTGCTTTCTACCATCATGTTGCAACCTACTGCAGGTAAACACGAACTTCATCCTACGAGGACATACCGTAGTTTACAATTATGCTTTCTTGCATATATTATATCTTTGTATATATAGAAAAACATGGTTATAGAAATATATACACACTGTTTTACACGTACACGCATTGACACACACATACATACATACACAAACACATATATATTTCCTAGATTCGCTATTTTTTACGTTTCTTGAATAGATGCTAATTTTTTAACAGGAATGATGCGCTGCTCTCTCTCCTGTATGTCTCGCCAGAGCCGTATTTGTATGGCTACAATGCTCAAAGCACTCGCATATTCATCTTGGTTCACTGTACTGTGCATTTGTCGAGTTACTCGAAAAGCATCTTGCGTTTTCGAGGAGATCTCGGAGAGACCTAAGATCCGCCGTATCTGTTTGCAGATCAAACCCAGGTACACCGACACAGGTTCGTCGGCCGGATTTCATAGGTGTGAATGAGGCGCCGACGTATTATGACGTACAACAGGGAAACAATACGCAAGGGATAAGCGTTACCGGTGCCGTCGTCACCGGTTACAGTCCGCAGCGGCGTTACCTCTCGGAAAGTGAGCTCGTGCGACAAGGAACCGATCATCCGTACTCGAGAACCAACAATACAACGGTCGACAACATCCGCGAGCTGGCTGGTTCGCCACAGCGCGGTGTTTACATGTGGAAGGACAATTCGCCCGGCAGCTATCCTTCTGCCGTAGGCGGAGGAGTGGTGAGCGGTGCGTCCCATCAGTCGCCCTCTCAACGACCGCTCCCGCCCTACGACTATTATCGCTCGAATCCCACAAGCCCGACGACTCAGCCGTATACCACCGCGAACGCACCCAGGGCGGCGTATCACCCAGCTATTAGAGGTGGAGTGCCAGTCTTCCCGCCGCATCAGTCGCCGCAGATCAAGCGCAAGACAACTACGATGGCGACACCCACGACACCGACTTCGACGGGAGACGCACGACGCCGACCAATGTCTTTCGTCAGAGCCCTCGAGATGACTGACTCGATGGAGATGGTCTCGGCGCCTAACGATCCGAGATCGTCGCAGAGGCCGACGACACCGACCCCGGACCGGGCGAGCGTATACGATATGAACTACGAAATATCCGTATAGCCCAGCTTTTCCGTCTCCGCGCCATCTTGCGGCTGGACGGAGATTATGAGAGAGCCGCCGAGCAGTCTGCGTATCTCGCGCTCCAACGAGGAAAGAATGTACAGTACCGTTTATGAGATATCCGTCTGAATTCTTCCGTGATCGACGCAAGTTTATAGGTCGCGCTTAACGTAAGCGTTGAATTATGAACGCTAAACGTGAAGCTGGCTTTTTTTAATTATATATCGCCGTGGGATCGCCGTTATTTTTGGAACTTACCGCAACAAACAGGCTACATCAGGCAATTGTACATCTGGATAAATCGCTATCAGTGATGTGTGTGTGTGTGTGTGTGTGTGTGTGCACGAATTATTTTGCGATTGACAGTATATATACATACATATATATGTATGTTTGTATATATATGTGTGTGTATATATATATACACATAGCATTCACTTTCGGCAAGAAAGTCGGTCCATCGACATTTTCGCTAACAAACGGTTCATTGTGTGAATTTATATGAAGCAGAGTAAATATATACGATGAATCTTTGTTTTTCTGATTCTTCCTTCAGCATTCGGAATCTTATGATAGTAGCAAACTTGCATTTTACACAAAAACGTACTAACATGCAAGTGTTCTGTCGTATTCCGTAATCGATTTAGTTAATGAAAGAAAAAAATAGATTCCAAATGCATAGCAGCAAAATGTGTCCATTACGTCAAAAATAAGGTCTGACTGACGATCCGAATTAACGAGTCGTGGAGACGTCAACGAAAGTATATCCCGAGCGCACAGAGGTCAACCTTTATTGGAACCATCACCGATAAATCGGCCCTCTCGCTTGACAGAAGCAATATTTTTTAGTACACGTTTAAGGTCAGTTTAGATTTTTATACAATGACACTACGACTTTTCACCCTCATAAAGAAAGCGATATTAATCCAACGTCATCCTTTTCGTTTTCTTTTTTTTCTGTGTCTGTATCTTCATTGCCGATAAAGTGAATGATTTGATAAGTGGGAGGAGCGTTAGGGATCACACTTTGTTGAATCCTAATTAGCTCTTCAGATACCAGAGAAGTCCGTCTCCATTAAACAAGAAAAAAAAAGATGAAACAACTTATGTCATTATCGGGATAGAATAACAAATTCTGTGTAAAATAATCGTGAGATATGTAGTAAATTTTTAATATACATATTTAACAATATTTATACGCGTAAATGATAAAAAGAATATAAGACTTTATATAATTTGACCTGTTTGTTAAATGATGATTTTATGGATGTGCCCACTAACATATTTTATTTCTATATAAAAAAAAAGTTTGTGCAAAGAAGAATATGAGCACGTGTAAAAATAATGTATGAATGAGTGAATTGCATTTTCAGAAGAGTGGAAAGTACACACAGTCCTAGTTTCTCTAATATATAATGTATACAGGGGTGGCTGTTCATATGCGCGTGAACATAAAAAATAAAAACTATTTTAATTTTGTTAAAAAAAAAAGAATTGTAATATACGCATTGCATAAACCATTGCTACTATTAAATTTATAATACACACCCCGCTTTTGAAATTGCATGGCGGTTTCTCTATTGTATATGTGTATGAGAAGCCAGTATTATATCGGTTGCATTAAATTAATACAGGTTGTAACGTCATATATTACTTAAATTTTGCGCACGCACTCGTTTTAAATGATAAATTTGCGTGGACTCGACTTGGTGTTACATACAGCACATATCATTTCGACACAACGTCAGACATCGAATATTATAGATTGAGAAACTTGCATTTGGCATATAATGACTGTTGAAAATATTATTACGAGGTTTATAAGCATTTCTTCCGTATTTCTGTTGATAAGCTTATGTTTAGAATTCGTTTAACGCGGAAACCCTTTGGATCCTGTTTTCATTAAGATAACAAACTGTGCCAAAAATTTCCCATGCTCTTAAATTATGTAGCTTTGCTTAAAAAATAGCATTTAACGAGACAACGGTACAACGTTATGAATTGACTAAGGTAATAATGTGTAAGGTACGACGAGTGTTAAATGTTTATAATTCGGTGTACTTGTACATAAATATTGCTCGTTACTTCTCTATCATTTAAATGTACATACATATACCATTCGGTACTTACGTATCGCCGCAGCAATCTACAGAATAAAAGTCATGGAACATAGTAAATTGTACTGTGTTATATCGTGGCAATATTTTTTGATGTTATGTTTTCTATCTTTTTGTTAAGAGCCTATTATTTTGTTAAAAAAAAATTACACATTATATCGTTAGATTAATCGCGTTCTTAAATCTAATCAATTTAATTATAAAGAAAATTTATTATTAAAGTATACATTAACTAAACAAAATATTGCATGAATATATTGATGCACATTTTGTACTGTTTCACATTTTTTCATAAATTTGAAAACTATTTAAATATATGAACTGTCAAATAAACTAAAAATATATTATAAACCTTTATATGAATTGAAAATAACTTACTATTTTTTATTGTTAATAAATGTTTATATGATTGTTCTTTTTTATTATAATTAAGATGAGAAGAGATAAACTGAAAAATTACATTGCTAAAAATTCACCAAAATACTTATCTGTCTTGAAAAACATTTGTAATGTTTTAATTTGAAAGAAATCAGCATTTATTATATATTTATAATTAGATGTTTATAAAAATTGCTGTCTATTCTTTCTTTGTTGATATGAAATATAATTTACGATAGTTCCTGTTGCTTCAGATATTTTTGTTTTATATAATAATTAATATATATCTTCTGTTTCCATATCCAGACCTTTAATTTTAACGCAACATTAAGTTTTATACTATAATAAATTATTTGATATGTGAAAAGATAATGGAATCTTACCATAATGATGGGAGGTATGATGTTTTACACTTTCATTAAAATATATATTTGGATGTTTGAACAGAGTGTCATTAAAACAATTATGTTTGATTTCGTAATACTTGTTACATGCTGCAGAATATTGGCCATTCTTCGATAAGTTTATTATTGTTGATTTCTCTAGATTATTATAAATGTTAATTAGAACAGATGAAACAAAAATTGTGTTTATATATAAATTAATATCTAGTATATACTTACCTAATGCATTAAAACCACAGTTAGCAAGTTCATCTTCAAGTACATCCTGCACCATATGTTTAAAAGGACATCCGTGATAATCTCTGGGTCCAACAATCGATTCCATAATTTTTATACATGTATAGGGTTGATAATCTCGTCGACTACCTTCCTGTCCAAAGGCAAATCTTACTTGATAACTGTGCTCTTTGTTAAATGTAGCCTCGTCCATTATTTTTGTAAACTCATTCTTCCATAGAATCATTGCATCAGATAAAGAAATTCCTATTCCCTTCAGAAACAAACAATACTGTATTCTACCACCATGTGTAAGATGATGATTCTTCCTTAATGCTTTATGGAGCACTCTCATGCAGAGAGGATAAGAGGTTTCTGAAAGCTATAACAAAGCAATCGCCGTTTATAAGAACGTTTAACATGTTAATTATTATGTTATTTTATTAGTGGTAAAATTATCAATAATTAACAAACAATGCATATGAATTTACCTTATCCAACTGATTAAGTGAAACATATTGTCGCACTTCTTGATCTTGTACTAGTATAGTATTCTCAATATGAATATTATTTTCTAAATTGGCAAAAATGCGAGTGAATCTTTCGTCATTGTATAAATTAGCTCTATTTTCACGTGCGGCCTAGAATGTAATAACATAGAACAGAGAATAGTAATAGCAGATTTGTAATAATTATTTTTGAACTTCACAAATACTTACTTCAAAACTTGATATTAGAATTCTCTTAAAGTATGGAACAAACATAAATGCTATTTCTTCTTCAGGTACAAAAGCTTCACCATACATAACAAAAATTTTACGCTTTTTAACTAAACTAGTTACATGAGAGAAAGGCACTTTGTAAAATTGTGTATTGTCAATGTTATTAACATATGGAGAAGACATTTGAAGATATTCCTTGAGTTCTTCTTTTTGATTTTGACTAATCTGAAAGTGAAATAGAATACTATTCATTCAAAAAATTGGAGAAGTAGCAAATTTTAAATGATATGACATACAGGCGTAAAATTAAAGCCATTAATGCACATAAACTGCTTGACTCCTTCGTTATTTAATGAAGAAAATCTCCATTTGAACAATCGTGTTTCTTGCTTAAAAAACCAACGTTTCTTGAGTATATTGAAGGCAACTACAGATCTTAATACAAAATGAGATATATGATCTCTTCTTCTGATACATATATCCTCATTTGTATGTGATTTACATTCAGCACTATTAATCAGTCTTGCAAATTCATCTAATCCTTCCTTGTACAATTCATTGACCAAGGTAACCTTGCGTTGCGACACAGACATTGTCAATTTTTGTAAATGTATACGCTCTACCAAAGTAAGAACTATAAACAAAAATACATTTTTCCATTAATTGTATATATGGGCGAAAATTTATATTAATATATATTAATTATATGGAAATGTGATATATGACATTTCCATATACGTACATATAATAGATAAATTGTGAATTAAATTACCTTTAAGCCGTGTCTGACATATTTCCTGCAGTTCATTTAACATTATCTCTCCGCATGGAACATTTTGATACAATTGTAGATCATGAAAATACATATCTCCAGTATTTTCGGTGTATTTGATCGGTATTTCAAATTTCACTGTGAACAGCAATTCTTGAACTAAATTTTAATATAATTCTAAATACAAAATACGACAATAAATTAAATATATATAATCAATTTCTTTTTGTCAGAACCACGGTATGTAAGACCGTGGTCAAAACTGACATTTCGTTTGTCATTAATTTTTAGCAAGTACTGCTAATTGCTCATATGGAAAAGGATTCAACATCCAATCGCATGACTGTTAAACTGAGAGGGAACTGTTTATTTTCTTTTTTTTATTCATAAAAAAAGAAAATACTCAAAACATATATATATATAATATTATTTTGTAAAAATAATAAATTAATTTTAATTAAATTAATCTAACATTGAAAAAAAGCTTAAAAAATTATTAATATCTACAATATTGCATTTTTCAAAAAGGAACAAAGTTAAAAAGAATATATAATTTAACATATAATTTGTTATATAATTTGACATATATATTTTTTTCTTTCATAAAATAAAACGAAAGTTTAGTAGACTAGCACATAATTTTTTATGCATCTTGTATAAATTATATAGCCCAATAATTTTGATCGACCAATCAAATCGAAAGAAGCAAAGATTTCTTTGCTCTGATTGGTCAGTCGAACTTGGACACTTTGACAGCTTCAACCGGAACACACTCTTCGTCAGCCAATCACAGTCGAGTATTCTCACAGCATAGAAGGAGTAAAGTGTGATTGGCTAATCTGCCTTATGCTTTTTTATGTTCTATGGTCATGGCTTTGATTAACGTCGAGAGGTCTAGCTAGCAATAATCCTATTTACGTTTACGCTTGCAAATCGTGTGTATATACCTATTTGACGATGATTCAATAGCGCATCGTGCGGCTGAGAAATTGGACGGACATCGTTTCTCGATTAAGTTTATACTGTGCACAGCGGACACGTTACTTCACGAAATACCGCTGAAAGTGTTGGCCAGAAAATTCTTTTCGCATCCCCCGGTAGTCCGCCATTATCGCCGTTTGTGCGGCGTATTGTCGGCTTTGTATCGTCGACTTTGTTCAAGAATCGGTCCCGTTTGGCGAGTCGTGGAACATAATTAGGAAAAAATTGATTCTCGCTAACCATGTAAGTAACTCCGTTGCGCGCGCTTGATATCAGCTGTTCGATTCTAACGATTCGATTTTAACCTTTTGTCATTTGTGTTTAGGGCTCGCAGCCGAAAGGACAGCACGGGTAAGAGTGACTCTGAAGCTACAGACAAGGAGAATAAAAAGGAGAGGGCTCGAGAGAAGGAACGAAAGAAACGGGCGGCCTCTTCCTCCAGCAGCGGAAGTAGGTGAGTTAAATTGAAAATGCAAGTTAAATTTATAGATTTGCTGCACAACTATTTCTAATTGACATGTATGACATTTATTTTGTAGCTCCTCAGACAGCAGCTCTGGATCTTCGAGTTCCAGCAGCGGCAGCAGCTCCAGATCTAGTTCTACTTCTAGTAGTTCTTCCAGCAGTTCAGCCAGTTCTTCAGGTAGTTCCAGAGATCGAGGAAGAAAACGCAGTCGTAGCAAAAGTGTTGATACTTCGAGGAGACACGATAATAAGGAAAAAGAGAGAGATAAAGAAAGAGAAAGAGATAGGGATAGGGATAGAGATCGCGAAAAGGAGAAGAAAAAGGGAAGCAATTCTATTCCTGATAAACCTAAACCTAAAGGACGCTCCAGGTATTATTTCAATTATACAGTTATTAGTAATTTGTTTTTCAGTCAGTTAGCAAGTTAATGTCATTAAGTTTTCATTAACTTTGCAGATCTCCTTCTCCACGCAGAAAGCGTAGAGAACGTTCACCGATCCCTAGACCAACAAAAATACATATTGGCCATTTAACACGGAATGTTACTAAAGACCACGTGATGGAAATATTTTCAGCATACGGTCAGATAAAAATGGTCGACTTTGCGATGGATAAACTTCATCCTAATCAGGGAAGAGGATTTGCGTACGTAGAATTTGATACTGCGGATGAAGCTGAGAATGCCATGAAACACATGGATGGAGGTGAGTGAAAATCGATCCTTTGAATATCATTATAGTATCTTAGTATCGCATTAACACGCGCGTTACGATTCGTTCACAGGGCAGATAGATGGTCAAGAAATTACAGCTGCTCCAGTATTATTGCCGAAACCTCGACCGCTGCTGATGCGCCGCATGTCTCCCGGCATGGGAAGACGTATGCCGCCACGATGGCTAGGCGGTGGCAGAAATACGCCGCCTCGTTATCGCAGACGCACGCCACCGATGAATCGCCGTAGAAGTCCGCGACCTCCGAGACGCCGAATAAGAACTCGATCGCGAAGCCCACCGGGGAATCCGAGACATCGACATCGTCGGTACACGAGATCCAGTACTAGTAGCTCCCGATAGTTTTTTTCATCGCATTGTACATATATTGTACATTTTTTTCGAACTTGACCAACACGCTGTTGTACAATGGTATTATAATTAAGTAATACATGTAACAACTACGCCAGTTTATAAATGTGTTTACCATCATGGCGATCATGGACTCATTTATACAAATATCACAATTTTATGTTCCGTCGAATAAGCACTTTTGAAATATAAATTTCATAACATGTAATAATGGTAACGCATTTTATAGTTAATTAATATCTTAAGTTTTCACGAAAACAGGTAACACGACATAAATATAAAATTTATTTTATTCGTCTTTATTATTCCTTCGTATGTAAAAAAAATGATTTAATTGATTGAACTTCATAATCCATTCTTTACACACAATAATTAATTTGTAATTTAAATATAACTGATTATAAAAAATGTAAATGCTACTTTTTCATAAAACCTATTTGTTTCATAACTTAAGGTATTAATAAATTATATCATTATGAATTGGCGTTTACTACTTTATGAAGATCATAGATTTGTTTATAAATCAGTTTCAAGTTTCATATCGAATAAACATTTTTGAAATATACTAATTTCACAATATGTAAAAAAATTGTAGCACATTTTATAATTAATTAATATCTTATTTACATTGTCATGAAATATACATAAAAAAATGATTAAAAATTAATATATTATTCTTTGAAAAAATTGATAGTATATATAAATAATTTGGATATCTCATTAGTTATGTTTAATTTAGGTGTAAAGAATGGATTATGAAGTTCAATCGATTAAGTAATATGGATGAATAATAAAAACAAATAAAATAATTCTTTTTAGAAATTAAGTATATATAGATAGATAATAATGTAATGTAAAAACAATTGAGTCTTCAAGGGAATTTGAGAGAGAAGGTTAGTAAAAATATTGAAAAACAAGATTGATAGAAACTATGATTATTAGATCCTTTTACAAAGAATCAATTTTAGAAAAAACCTATTCACACAAAATCCTCTTACTTCGCGATATCTACATGAACAAAATCATTGCATCACATTGTAACTTTGCATCGATGAAAAATATCTACAATTTTTAAACTGCGTGTATAGTTGTTAATTGTATAATATACAGTTGTATGATGATTTTACAGTATAAATGAAATAGAGTTTGAGAATATCCGATCATATTCAAAGAAATTCATATTTTTCTTGTGAGGTACCAGGGTTATTCGAATGTGACCTGGTCCATGGCACAAAACTTTTAAGAGATCTCGTATTGGCTTTCTGGTAACACAACGACGCATATGGCTGAGAATTGAGAAATGTTCGAAAGAAAAAACTGTCCTGTATAAACATAAATAGTATGTTAAAAGAAACCGGTCTTGTGGAACATATTCTTTGATTGAAGCAACTTTTTGGCACGCACAAGCTGCTATTATATTAAGCGTCATCCTGTGTTTTTCGAAAGAATATTTCTAATCTGTAAAACTTTAAACTGGATAGTTTGATTTATTTGCACTTGTCAAATCTCCGGTTGTCACGATTTACGCAATAAGAAATTAAAAAATAATTTACTACCCTTGAAACATTTTTCTTTTTATATCACAGGAAAGCACCCAGTGCTGTTATAGTCAGCATGCAAATGAAAAAAGCACGTGCTGTCGAAAGCCAAAGAACTTTCCGTTTTATATGCCCTCTTTTTTTTCACCATCATCTCTAATATACAAATTAAAATCTAAGAAGTAAAATTTATACATTTGATCATTTTTATATTACATCAATTAAATTAGGGGCAAATCTTATGTCCGCATTCGTACGCCAGTAGCAGTAGAGATTCAAATTCGTTTATACGTGTCGCAATAAATAAATAATTAAATAATTTTTGAGTAATAATAGAGATCCGCTCAACTCTCTCTCTTTCCTAACTTGGATTTGCTTTTTTTTTCTTTTTTACGTAACCATCGTCTCGCATTCTATAACTATTTTAATATTACACACGATACTTTTTTAATCTGTACGCATAGTTATCGTCGTAATTACGGCTTGTTACCACTATAGACAGTCAGATCACTGAAACTGCAGAAATCACAAAACATCAGCGTGATTATTTGTGACATCAGCGATGCCGTGCGCCCTCCGTAGTTTTTTTCTTTCGTAACATTCATTATTCGTTAGCCGCCGTTATCGGTGGTACAGCGGTATCATTAGCAAGGCATCTTCGTTACGTTTTCTTGTATAGTTTTACGCGTTCTCGTCATCTTTCTCTCTCTTTCTCGAGATAGCTATAAATATTACATATATAATATCTATATACACTTTCTTTTTTTTTGTTTCAGATAACGCGCTTCTTCTCTGTTAGCAAAATATCAGCACCGGGTTCCGAGCGTCACGGAGGGGAGGAATTGGTACGTGGCTAGTACGTTCAGAATCTACCAGCTCTGAAGTGGAGGCTGGAACCGCTTAAAATGTCGGTCCGTCAGTGCGTTCCCTCGTAGAAACCGAGGACGCTGAAACGATGTATCATCGGGACTGCGATCCATCCTCCTTCTTATGAATATCTGCGTGCATGATGGCGTTTTCGAGCGGACGCGTCGGTACTCCTGGGCCGGGTCCTGCTCTATGATGCATATGTAAATTACTGAGCGGACCTGGGCTAGGATCTTTACTCCTGAGAGCATTCACCGGTGGTGGAGGATAACCGGCGTACAGCTTCGCTCGTTCCTCCTCCTCTCTGAACGCCGCCATTAATGGATTGTATCGTAACTGTTGCAGAGGATCGTATCGATAAGGATCCCGGAAAGGATCGCCCGGCCAAGGAGCTCCCGGTTGACCGGCAGGCGCGGATGGCGGTGGAAAATGTTGTATCTGATGTGCGCTTAAACTGGGAAGCATGTTACTACGTGGCATAGAATGCGAAGTCATGCTATGCGGATGCCTCGTGAGATAAGTATGCGGATGCGGATGATATCTCGGATCGGGCAGTGGATTTGGTCCTGGCGCGGACCCGGTTGCTCCGGGACCGGGTACCGGTGGTCGTGGAAGCATTACAATCTCATCGTCCTTGCTGCGTGGTTCCTCCTTCACGCGTACTTCTCCGGTATCTATCGGCGCCGAGCCGTTCCTGAGGGGCGAACGTTCCCGAGGAACGACCACGTGTTGCCGATTTTGATGAAGCAATCTCTCGCGCTCCATCTCGCGTCTTTCCATCTCGCGACGTTCCTTATCTCGCCTCTCTCGCTCTCGTTCAGCTGCCTCTTGCTGTTTCCTCTTCTCTTCTTTCTCGCGTTCCCGCCTTTCTCTCTCGCGTTGCTCCTCTCTCTCCCTTTCCCTCTCTCTCTCGCGTCTGATACGCTCGCGTTCCCGTTCAGCGCGTTCACGCTCCCGCTCGCGCTCTCTTTCCCGTTCGCGCTCACGCTCCCGTTCCTCCAACTCGGCGCGTCTGTCTATCGCGGGCGGTTCCGGCTTCAAACCCCACGAAACAGTGGTTGGTGGGAAACCAGTAGTAGCACGTTGCAATCTGCAAACAATTGTACATGTATTTTTTATTACATTTTTATTTTCTGGACAAGATGGAAGTGTTTGTGGTAGTAAAAAAGAGATAATGATAGCTAATTTATGTTCTACGTAACATACCCTCGCCATGGATCGTGCATCGAACTGAGTCCACCTAGAGGCGGCATTTCTCTCGGCGGAAAGGTTGAAAGACCCGGAAAATTGGGATTCGGTGCACCGAATGTCGAAGGATACCTTCCAAAAGGAGATATTCCTGTTCCTGCAAATAATAATAATCCTGTATATACAACAAGATTATGTTATACAATTAGTACATTATATTATATATTAAGTGTAAAAAAAAATGTATGATGAAAAATGAGTAACAGTCAAATGCATCTACAAACACGAACATGCATGTGAATAAATGTGTGAACCTTTGTTACCTCTATTACCTAAATGTGAGGCTGGTGTAGATAGAAAACCGACAGGATGAGATGGGGGTGGTGCAGGATGCGCAGATGGCATATTAGTGGGAAATGGAGGTGCCATTGATGGTGCACCAAGTCCAAGACCACTGCCTGGTCCCCCTGGATAAAGATGGCCTGGCGGTCTTAATAAATCAGTTTTTGTACTAACGACACTTCCTGCTTTAGCTTCAGCCTGTTGCTTTTGTTGATGATGATGAATTTCCCACGCAATGCGTACATGCATTGCATTCCATTTTCCACTTTTCTAGATTTAAAAATCAATCATTTAATTGAAAATATATTTGCGCAACAAGATACAATAAAATATAAAGTTTCAGAATTTTTAACTTTTTACATAAATGTACCTTTGGCGCAAATGAAGTTAAATGATTGGGTGGCACAAAGGGTGTCGAAGGTGGACCAATTCCAGGATGAAGAAGGCCAGCGTTAAAACCGGAATAACCGGAAAGATTTAAGTTTCCACGAAAAAATGGCGATTCGACTCCTCCCAATTTTGGTATGTCCTTAAACTATATATGAATAAGTTTAAACATAATACTTTTGTCAGAAATCTTGTGAAAAAAATCTTTGTTCATAAATATGCTTCTTACAATCGGAGGTGGAAAAAGCGTCGTTGCTGCAGCTGGTGGTAGCAACGGCGTCGTGTGTTGATGTACATGCGTATGCTGATGCTGATGATGATGCATTTCTGTTCGAAGATATGCCGGACCCAAATTTCCCACTCCAACTCCAACATTTCTATCCTGAGACGCTAAGAACCTATTATCAAGTTCTCTCCTCAAAAGATCTGCCTGACCTGCAACATGTGTCACCCCTTCTTTTGGTTAGCGCATTTATCATCTGTGTCCATATTTACATAGATACATATATTGGAAAAGATTTGATTATAAGCTTACTTGTTTGAAACAAAGACTCCGCGGAAAACGGATTCGGATTGGTCGTCGGTGGAGGAAGCGAAGACAGCGAAGTATGTGGACTTGAGCTAGACACAGGTGGTGGTAAAGGCTGTGCAAACATCGGTGGTGGAAATGTATGTATGCCGAGTGGCACCGGTGGCGGAGTTGGCCTCGGAACGGATGTAGCTGTTGCCGGAGATAGCTGAGAAGCTGTGTTGTTGCTATTTTTTTGTGGAGGTAAAGAATTTCAATATTATTTTTTTAAACGATACATTCCACAGAACAAGTTAACTGACAATTCAGCTGACTTACTTAATCCAACCTTGTGGCTTGGTGTATGCAGGTAGACTAGAATTGGCTGGAGAGGAGGTGTTTGGCACACTAACAGGCGTTATGCTGCCGCGACTTAGACTACTCACGTTACTGCTGTAACAAATATTATAATTATCATAAAATTTCCTGTTGTTTTAATGAGTCGAGGAACTCTGACAGATGTATCTGCAATGCTGCAAAAAAAAAGAAAGAAAAAAAAATATTTTACCTGTAACTATCTCTTTCCCGACTAGGACTGTGTCCACGTGGCGAATTATTGTTTCGTCCAGACAGACTACAGGCCACCATGTCTCTATGGGCGATAGAATTTGCCGTGGTAACTGTATTAGTTATTGTAGACACACATGTCGTGGTGGCAGCGCTCAGTGGAGTATTATTGTGACTCGCAAGGTTATTTCCTATGGTCTGTTTATTTATATTGGTACAGGGAGAAGCTCTACTTCCTCTCTGAAAATACAATTATTAACACTTTAATATTAGCAGTTGCATGTCACGACTTGAAACAAGTAATACTTGTCAATGCGTGCAACTTACCACGTCCGCGCGTGATGAAGCAGAATGAGAAGGGGATGGTACTGCAGGGGAAGGTACGGGCTATGATTTAACGCGGTATACGGAGTGTAGAGCGGTGGATATGATGGTTGTGTCTGCGGATACGCAGCTATAGGAATGGGCGGTGGATAACTCGTGGTAGCCGCTCCGTTCGAAGGTGCTGCTGGCGTAACACCTAAACTGGCTACCGCTGGACTAGTTGTATGACTTGACGAGACGAGGGGCACATTAGGTGGATGTAATCCAGGTATCGTAGTATGCGGCTGCTGGGACAGGGAAGGTGGTGGCAGAGCAGGGGAAGCTGGCCGCTGTTGCGGAGCTATTGCACGTGGATTCGCTGCCAAAGGACTAGTCATCTGAAACAGGGTACATAATTATTAATAAATGTAAGCTCTTTTTGTGTGTGCAAGTTTTTCTAATGTGATGTTACTTACAGGAGGCTGGGATATGTGTGGGGGCAACGTTGGACTGGGAGGACTCGGCGCTGTTGGAACTGGTGCAGACGTAGGCACAGGAGGCGGTATAGGTGCCGGAGCATCCGTTGCTGGATTAGAAATCTGCCCACCCGTATCCGGTGGAGACCCGCCTGCCCCGTTTGCGGGTGGCAAAACGTGTGGTGAAGAAGAGGGCAATTCGTCTGAAAAAGAAATTTTATTATTGAAAGCTGATTAAAATAGAAAATATTTTAGAAGAAAAAAAGGAAGAGAAAAAGGTAGAAAAACAGAGTGAAGCTAATGAGAAGACTCATGAAGCAATACAAATAAAATAAAGAACAACACACAGTGTCGTTGTGATATACAATTTACTGCAATATAGTAATCTAATTAAATTCATGATTCATTAGTCTTTGACTTCTATATATAATTTAGTTTCTGCATTTGACTTTTATTAATCATTTATTATTTGAATTTTTATATTTAATATATTAGAACCTTTTTTATTTATTTATCAATACTAAAATATGCGTTGCACAGATATAATATTTATAATTCTGAAAGATGAGTATGTTTCTCATGCTCGTACTTCTTATTTTAAAAAGCAAATTACTCACATTTACGTGCAAGAGGTGGTGAGGTAGAAGATTCAAAGAGTACCGATTCGGCATCCGAGCCCTGTAACATAAAAATAATAACATTATTAAAATGAGTCAATTATTATATTTCTTTTTTTATAAAGTACTTGGAAATGTGCACATACCTTATCGTCTTCTCCTTCACTATCACACTGAAACAAAGAAATTATAAATAAACTCATTAATATTTTATTGTAATGTGTAGGATTTATATTTATAAAATTGTTGATACTTACGATATAACCTTTACCCGAACTGCAATGACTGCTAGCCTGTATTATAAGAATAGATTTGTAAGTAAATGTGTGTACTAACTTATAACTTTGCATTCAGTGGTAAAGAAATAGATACTGATCTTTGTATCGTAAGCAAATTTTGTTAATTGTAGATAAATCAACATCTTATATACCATATAAATTCTAAGTTATATAAATATAATTTAATTATAGTGTATGTGTGCAAGATTACATCGCTGAGATGGTCCCTGGAACTGTCTGCGTCCTGGCAATCCCTAGGTATACCAGGGCCGTGTAATTGTTCAGATGCTCTGCCACTATCGTCACTGGTACCTGCATCTAGGCCCTGTGACAGAAATTTCCAAGACATGACATTCCTCATTATCAGACAGGTAAGAGATTCTACTCCTTTGTATATAATTCAATTAAAAATCTGATACTATACCTGGTTTAACGTCGAGGGTGTCAGTATGGAATTATGTGTGTAATGCTTGAAATTGTTTTTGATGTGGTGCTCGTTGTGCCTGTTATTCTGTCCTGTATCCACCTTTGGTTTCTCTTCCACTATCGACACCAATGTATGCAGCTTCTTGACATTATTTTTACCAGCTAACTTTATCGCACTCTGAAAACACACCAAAAATACACACATATAACAAATTCATATATCTTCCACACACAAATATTATACAATTTCTTAAAATTATTATTTGGAATCATCCAGAAAATACTAAAAATGTCAATTTTCCATTTAATTGGCAATAAGACAAATCTCTTGATCTTATATATTTTATGTGTATGTATGTATACACATAAACACACACACACATGTATGCACGTATAAAAATAAAAATGATGCAAGAAGCTTCTGTCAGCGATGAGATTCGAGGGCAATCTGACACATTAGAAAAAAAAAAAAAAAAAAAAAAAAAATTAACTCGACGAATATCGCTGCCCACCTGCGGTCGCGACAAGTGCGAAGCGTCGCCGCTCTGGAATTTCCGAAAGTCGCTAGTTGTATCCCGCTCGCGGATCCGCGGTGTCGTGTTTCATTCTTCGCGCTCGTGCGATACCCCGGCTGTTCTAGCGAACGTCGTCGAGGCGAGCCATGCTCTTCGAGTCGTCCCACCGCTCGATCGGGATAAAGGACGTCGAGGCGTCGACGACGACGTCGTCGTCGAAGAACTTTCACGCACACGCTGTTGCGCGCGATCGCCGGGTGGAAAAAAAGCGAAAGAGAGGAGGCCGCCTCCTTCTTTTCCTCTCTCTCTCCCGTTCGAACGCGCCTTCAGACTACCGCGACGACACACTGGTGCACATTTCCGAAACGCGCCTTCTCTGCCTTCCCGACGACGTTACCGCTGATCGTCCGCGATATCTCGCCATGCGAGGACGACGGACTCGGATTTTTCGCGAACCGCGCGGGACAGACTCGCCACGGACGGGCGTTCGCAAGATGACAGAGGGATTTCGCAGGCAGGCACCCGTGTCTCGTGTGTGCGCGATGCAGCACGGGAGCGACTGGCGCTGGTGGGGAGGAGCGATGAAAGAGAGCGGAGAGCGAGGAGAAGAAGCGAGAGAAAGAGGCGCGCGCGAGGAGACGACGATAGGAGGGGGGGGGGAGGATGAGGGAGACGGAGCGAGGGTAAGAGCGAGGTGGAAAGAGGAGACATTGACCGAACGAGCAGCCGCGCGACGAGGCCTCTTCGCTGTGCCAGGCCAGCTGGAAGGAACGAACCGCGATCCGATTGCTATTCTCGCTCTCTCTTTATCCTTTTTCGCAACGACAGCGTTACGCTCTCCCTCTCCCCTCCCCGACCCCTGTTCATCCCTCCCTCCCGTAACACGGGCGGGTACCAAAGAAAAGAAGGGAAAAAGCCACTAGAGACCTCGCGGTTGGCGCAAAAAACCACCGCCGCCGCTGCTGCTACCACCACCATCATCATCCTCCTCTTCGTCGTCGTCGTCTCTCGCCGCCGCCACCGCTGCCCGGTGCAAAAACCACACTCCACCTGCGCACGTGTGCCAACTGCGAGGCGAAACCCCCTAGGACGTGTCCGTCGCGGTCGGATCGCGTGTTCCGCGGTGTGACGCCAATTAATTGAATAAAACCTTCGCGCCCTCGATCGGGGAAGCGGAGGATGAGCGAGGAGATTATAGATCGGATTTTTTTTTAATTCGGAACGGATTTCCCGGGATGATTTTTCTGTCTTAGCGAGGAGAGTTTTCGCACGTAGCGCGCCTATGTTGATTTTTGGTTTTTGTTTTTTTTTTTTGGAGCGAAAGATGCCAAGACATGATTGATGAGAGCTATCACAGTGGCGAGGCTCCTCGTTCATTCATACGGATGAACTGAATCAGCTGACGCGCATTACTCGCCGAGCATAGTGTTGTGTTTGGATGATTTCAAAATTAGCGGGATAAAGATGAGATGAAAATTAGACTGCTTATGTAAACAATGTAAATTACATGTAAAAGGAATATAAAATAATTTTACACTGAAAGAGAATTCGTTAACTTATTGACTAACCTTTAAACTAAATCACCATTTTGTTCATTGAACATGTTAGTATTTAAGTTTAAATATAATGTATATACGTTTCATTAGATTTATTACGTTATATTTAATTTTAATATTTTTATATGTTCAATTAATAAAATAATATTTAGTTGATCACACAAGTTGAAACAAATTTTTTTCAGTGCGTGCGGCCTTCGATCAAATCATCTGAACATTATTCTAGATAATTTAGTAAAAAAAATAATACACATTTTTATAAGATGATACCAAAATTTCATCTAAATGATCATCTATATAATTTTATTTAGATAACAGCAAACACTGTCTCCGAGATAGTCGCATATTCTATATAGCTCGTACGATGTGATGTTTTGTCAGATTGAGATTAACACGGGTCCTGTACTACTAAATGAAACGTCACTCGAGAAAAAGATCACAAATTATCGATTAGTCTCCCGTATGCGGGATCTTGGAGCTATTTCAATGACAAGAATAAACCGCGATATATAATTTGCATCTTTTAATAAACGGATTTTTTCCCTCGTAACTCTTTATACGGCATGAATCCACTTATCTTTCATGACTGAATAATATTTATAGCATCTACCGCAAAGACAAGTTTTCAAATAATCGTATATACATATAAGGAAAGAATGTATATATACGCACACATACTTATTTGACAATTATCACTTGTAAATATTACAGAGGTTATTTTAGATAAATGCACAATTGGAAAATTCTTTTTGTTAAAAACGATTCTCGTTAAAATTTTCGTGTTAAATATTTAACACATTCATGTGTTAATTTAACATATTGCTGTTGTGTTAGTTGAACTTAAATATTTAATTATTATAAGACAACTGAAAAAAATGTAAAAATAACACAATGTGCATCTATTTTTAATGTTACACAATAAATATATTCTGTTTTATTAGTAACAAGATTCATCTGTTAAAATTTACCCGAAAAAGAAATTGATTTTTTATTTTATAATATAAGTGGGGATAATAGAATCTAAAATTAACAAATTTTTAATTAATTTTTACATCAAAGCTAGTTAATTTCACACAAAATTTATTTTAAATTACTTCAAGTTTTGCATTTATTTTGTGTTAAAGTATTAACACAGTATTTGTGTCTCCATATTATGTTAAATTAACACAAATTTCTTAACTGTGTGGGTATATAAAAAAATCATATGATTCATGTCAGTCTGCGCAATAAAACTCCGTTCACGAAAAGTGAGTAAAAGTCGAGTAAATATAACTTTGACTGACATTGATACGCCGTTGTATAAGAACGTACACTATCGTTGTGTATATTCATAATGTATGTAGTGTATTCATAGTGTATATTCATAATGATTAAATCCTTTCTCCCGTTTGTTCGATTACATTGCATGCAAGAATGTATGGGTTTAATTCCGCAAGCCCTGGCTTTTACCCTGGGTATGTCACAACGTTTGTTTCGTAAGACATATGCGCACGATAATTCATTATAGCTACATAATCGAAATTTGCTACAGTGTAGTGTAGAATATCTAACATATTTGTAGTAATAATGTCTATTAACTGCAGAACATGTGATTATGTATTCTGCGAATTGCCTTTAACAAATAAAAAAAATAAAAGTGAGAAAATAAAAATATACAATTCAAGCTTGCGACATGCGCGATTATACCACAATAAAGCTTGTTTGTACCATAATAAAGCTCTTAAGGTTCTATCTTATTATGAGAAAACGACACAAGATCTTAATTGCAATTAATTACTTTTGTATACGTGAACAAAATGACACGACTTAAATTTTTTTTTAAATTACTCGCGTAAAAAAAAAAGAAAAATTATCTTATAATTATAAAGCATTATTTTTTTTGCAAGTCACGGACTATGTTACTCGAGGTAAGACGGTGCGATAACGCGTTCTTAACGAAAAGTTTCTTCATACCGCGATACGCAACGTTGCATTTTATTATATATATAATTTATGCTGTTCTCTACATTTTTTTGCCTTTCGTTCGGCTATATGATTAGCGTACAAATAAGTCTCTATATCTTTTCTCCCTCCTTCTCTCTCTCTCTCTCTCTTCAACATGATTATAAAACGACTCTATTGTCCATAAAAACCACGAGCACAAAAAGATAGGATAAATTATGAATGGAAATAAGTACGTATATAGCCATTCTTTTTGTACTTATTTCAGTATAAATTTGTTACCTACATGTATAAAAAATATTATATAGAATTAATACATATAACGTAGACTCTTGAAATATCATTAATTTGAGAAATCATTAGTATACATTCACGAATTTAAAAACTGGATGTAACTGTCAGACAAGTTTGCTTTTTTTCAACAAATAATTTGCCATTTAATATTCCATGAACAGCGATTAAAAAAAAAACATGTCAAAAATTCATATTAAAAAAATAGAATAAATTTAGACATCAAGTTTTGCGTATAATAATTGAAACATCTTATTAATGTTGTAATGTAAAAGGATCTCTTATTATATCAATTTTTCGCTTAATAATAAAATCAGTAAATTGATTAAAAGTTTTGTCAAATAGTTATTACATTTTTAGATTTTGAATCATTTTCGCATATGGAAAAGAAAAATATTTGTACATAATTCTGCATTTTTTTTCATCTCTTAAATATTTATAACTCTTTGCCTTGTATTGTTTCTTATGCAAAGTTCATTCAAATTTATTCATAACTAAAGAATGTGACTTATGACTGTCTGTAACGAAAACGCAAAACACCTTGAAAACGTATCTCTTGTAAAATTATATACAAATTCAAAGTTCTCTACATTGTAATCAAGTATATGAAGCATCCAAGAGATATTAAAAAAAAAGACATTCGTGAAAAGACATTAAAAAATAAATGGACGTACATAAAAGAAAAATACACATTTTTACGATCGAGAGATGTCAATCTAAATCTCAATCATTCGCGGAAGACATCGCTCATTTGCTGTAATAATGACATAACTAAAAATGATTTTTCAGGAGACAGAATTTAATAATAGTGCAACAACTTTTCTCCCTGTGCTGATAATTTAAAATGTTTTCATTTTTATAAGTTATGTCCAATG